TTCCAGTGGGGGTTAATTAAGGGAAGAGAAACTGCCCTGGGTGGGTGGTGTTGTCTCATAGGGCAGGGGCCTGAATGAAATATGAATAAAAGGAGGGAATGCCAGCTAGCTTGTTCGTGCTCTCTGTCTCACTCTCCCTTTCTCTCCCCTTCTCTTCCTCTTTCTCTCCCTTTCTCTTTCTCCCTTTCTCTCTCTCCCATTTTCTCTCTCTCCTTCTCCATTTCTCTGTCTCTCCCTTTCTCTTTCTCTCTCCCTTTCTCCATTTCTCTCCCCTCCTCTCTCACTTTCTCTCCCTTTCTGCTTCCTACCCACCGTGAGGTGAGCTGCTGTGCTCTCCCAGACCCCCATAACTCCTGTCATGATGGACTGAAGTTTAGGGTGTTTGGTCCCAGAGATGAAAACTCGTACCACACATACTGTGTGCCAAGCAAACACCTTTACCCGTTGAGTCATCTCACCAGCCCTCAGTCAATACATTTTAGTATAGTGTGTTACACAGCAAAAGCTAACAGATACAAGAACTCGGAATCCCTCATAAGTGAAGGTTCCTCAAGAACACCCAGCTCCTTCTTGCCAATGGCAAGTGTCCCTCCTACCTGCTTAACATCTCACACATCTGGTTCCTCTTTTGCATATTCACTTACCACAAAAGGAGAAAAACTGAGGACCTCTTATCTTCCTCTCAAAAGTGGGTATGTAAACTCAGACTAGCACACGATGACAACAGCAGGGTGTCTGATTTGCAAATCCTGGGCTAGATGGACAAGGGTATACCCAGAGAGACACCAAGGAGCCAAACGCCATCAGCAACTGGTCACCGAACTCTGTCCTATCCAAGAGCTCTTCACCCAGCACAGGATCCACCGCCCAAAGGCGAGTCCATGAGTCAGAGTTTATAACTTCCTTCCTCAAAAGGCTCCAAAATAAACAGAATAAACACCAGTTGGTCTCAGCTGGTTGCATATTGGCCTGCCTGGAGGAGGGGGATGCCAAAGACAGCTTCTGGAGGCTGCTCACGCCCTACACTTCTAGGAAATAGACAATTACTAACAACATGGATTTTATTATCGTGACATCGCTAAGGTCTTTGCATAAAGCCTATATTTAAAAATATAAACATGTAAGTGAAAAAAAAACGTCAGGGGAATAAATATTTGTCTTAAAAGAGACCATCTGTTTCAAATTTTTATTTAAAAAAAAACCAACATGTGTTTTATTTTAAATTTGTATGTGTGCTGTTATCCTTGGGTTAAGTATTAGGTAAATAGACAGAAGCATTCAGAATCCATTTTCCAGCAAATTTTGGTTAGAAATCCTTGCGCACGTGACACAGGAGATAATTTGGGGGCTAATTGGAGCTTTGTGGGAGGCCAGCCCCTCACAGGCCTCCCCCCTACCCCCTGCAGCCTCTGTTTGGTGGGGCTTTCCTCAGCACTCATGTTTGTTTTGGATGAGATGGCGTTTTACACCTCTGAGGACTCAGCCAACACAACACATGGCAAACTGCTTCCAGCCCAGCCCAGATGTGCACCCAGATGCAAAGGAGGCCACAATGGCAGGAGCACAGGACTCCAGTCTGTAGGAGCCTCTGTTGCAGCCTCCAAGGGCAGTGAATTTGGATGTAAATACTGTTTGTTTGTGGAGAGGGGTCAAGGAGAGCCTTGCACAGGAGATGGTGGAGAGCTGGTTTCCATGTGTGAACAGGGAAAAGCAAGCAAGGTCATTCCAGAAGGAAGCACCAAGGGATCTAGGGGATCTGGGGAAAAGGCATCGAGTCCCATGGTGGTGGAGAACAACACGAGATGAGGATGGCTGGAAAGGAAGCTGGAGAAGGGGCTGGAAACAGGGAGCAACTTCTATCTATCTGTTCTTCCTTCCTAATAGGAATACACACGCAGACAGACAGACAGACAGACAGACAGACAGACACACACACACACACACACACACACACACACAGTTCTCCATTCCAGGGTAGTATTTGTTCATCTAGACCATCTATGTCCAGTCTTTTGATGTTATAACACTGTGTTTATCACCGGGCGTTGGTGGCGCAGGCCTTTGATCCCAGCAATTGGGAAACAGAAGCAGGTGGATCTCTGTGAGTTTGAGGCTAGCCTGGTCTACAGAGGGAGTTCCAAGACGGCCTCCAAAACAATACAGAGAAACCCTGTCTCAAAAAACCAAAAAATAAAATAAAATAAACCAAAAAAACCACTGTGTTTATCATCTACAAAGTCCACCCTTGAAGTTAAGCTACCAAAAAAAAAAATCACAAAAATAACCTCATAATATTTTGAGTTTATAATTTTATATCAGACTGGGTTCCAAGAACCCCAGCCACAGGCCCAGGGGTCACATGACCCAGTTAAGGGTGGGCACCATCTTTTATTGGAGTGAGGGACTAGGTTAATATCATCTATGAAAGACATTTTCACTTTCTGAGACCATGGGCTAGAAGGTCATACTGAGGCCTCTTGTTCTTGTTGATGAATGAAGGTCTTCCCAGGAAAAGAAAACATGGGAGAGAGTGGGGATGGATATAAGTTGAGCTCCTCGGCCCAGCTCCACTTAACTAGGGTATTTCCATTTTTCTTAACACCAATCAGAGTTGGCGCCTTGCCTCTTGCAACTGAGAAATGTTTGGTTAACATCAGTAAAATCTCAAATTTAAATTGAACTTGCAGCACTAAGCAGACAGCTGTACCTGATGAAGACAGCAATCCAGTGGTTCCCTTGGGTAAAAAGAGGCAGCTGTCCATCAAAATAGAAGCTCCATTTCCATCAGACAAGGTTGCAGCCAGAGGGATGTCCCACGCAGGGTCTATTTTACAATACCCCCACCACCTCCCTTGCACTTGAGTGTGACAGCAGCTAAGGCCCACCAGTATAGTATAAGGAGGAGTGGTAGAAATGATTTCTGTACGGAGGATTCCCTACACTGTATAGCCCTTCTACCTAGAAATGGAGGTGAAGGACTTGGTGGAAACTTAAGTTACAAGAAGCAAGGATTTAAACCAGAATGGCATGAGAAAAACATTGCTCTCTCACTACAGGGAGAGAGGACACTAAGAAGTGTTGGCCCACTCTCATTCTAGGCTAGGGTTTATGTGTGAATTGAGGCGCACGGAGAAGGGAAGGGTTTGCACAAGGCTGGCTGCAGGTTTCAGGAAGCCATTAGCCTCATGGTTGTAGAAATGTTAGTCAAACAGAAGGTCTGTTATTTTTGTTCCAGAACGTAACTGTCTGTGTTTGTCCCTTCTCTGGCTCTCAAACGTCGTTAGTTCACAAGCCCTGGGCCAGATGTCGCCAGCCATCATGGTCTTTCTCCATCAACCATAACTCAAAGAAAACAGGGTTCCAACAAGAGAGGAACCATTTTTATTTAGAAGACATTTTGTGCTGACTGAGGGTAGGAGGGTCTGAGGGAATAAGACACCCAGTGAAGAAGGCCCTGACTCTAGGAACATCTATCTCACTGAAGGCAGCCACCATCAAAGAGGACCGCCTGCTCTGGATAGCTAATGTTAGTTAAATAAATAAATAAGTATATAAATAATGAAGGCATGGGTGTAATGAGTTCACTAGACCCAAGACAAATGATAAATGGGTGTTTTATTGGGGAACAATTTACACAGAACAATAAAGAATCACCACAGCCTGTCTCTGCCCACCCAATGGGATCAGCAACCCAAGACAAAGAGAGCTGAGAGAGACCACACCTCATGCTTTCCTCTTTTGGCTTCTGTCAGCACCTGAAGCCATGTCCAAAGGGATGTGGACACTAACACAAATAAACTGGCAAGGCTAGATGCCACCACAATTCCCCTTTTAGTATAAAGAAGAAGGTTTTAAGCCTGATGCAAAAACCTTATACAATGATAACAAATATCAGGTATGTTCCAGAAGGAAAGGTTAAAAACATAAACAAATTAAAACCTACTAACAATGAGAGCAACATTGAGCAATAAATACATACTACAAAATAAAATGAAAATTCTTTTGGAGTTTGAACACAGTAGTGCAATTTAGGGATCTAATTATCACAGCACCTGAGTTTACCCCAACCAATACATCCCCTCCATTGTTCTGGAAGACGCTTAAAGTCCTGGCAGTCTGCTGTCAAAGGCTTTGTTCTCCTCTGATGAACTCCATGATGCTCACTTCCTGTATTTATTGAGCACCTACCCTATTACAGTATGTAACATTAAGAAAGTGTGATTGCCAATTAATCAATGGTATACCATCAGAAGCTATCCTAATTTCAGAAATGGAAAATTGCAAGGGGATATATATATCTTTAAATGGATGGAAGATATCATTAAGACTTTTGTTTTTGTCTGGTTTTATTTTGTTTTGTTGTTATTTTGAGACAAGGTAGCCCTGTATAAACCTGGCTGTTCCTGAACTCACTCTGTAAACTGGCTGGCCTCAAACTCAAGAGATCCACCTGCTTCTGCCTCCCGAGGGCTGGCATTAACGGCGTGCACCACCACCACCTGGGTTCTGGTTTTGTTCTTTGTTTGCCTGTTTCATTTGGTTTAGAGGGGACAACTTTCTAAAAAATTCTATGTACTCATTAGGCGGAGTGCACGTGGCACGACTCATATGTGGCAGCAAGAGGACAACTTCATGGAGTTGGTTCTCTCCATCTACATTCATGTGGGCTCAAACACAGGAATCAAACACAGGGGGTCAAACTGAGATAGCAAGCATTTTGCCTACTATCCCATCTTGTCAGCCCTGAAATAACTTTGTGCTGTGTGTCCCAAACATTCCTCAAACTCATGATCTTTCTGCCTCTGCCTCCTGAGTGATAGGATTACAAACACATACCTGCATACCCAGCGAAATAGAGCGTTTTTTACTCCAGGACACTAATGATCTTGTAGGAGAGGCAGATGACCTCATAGGGAAGAATCTATGTTATAAATACTCTAACAAAGATGGACAGCTCATCCAGGAAGAGATAACCAAGAGCTGAATTTTGAGTGAAGAAACAGCAGAAAGGCACTTGTGGGGAAGACCAGCCGGTCTCTGAGATGCCTCCTCCACACCTGCAGAGAGGCATGCATGTACCCACAGTCATGCACGCACTGGCAGGGATTGTGATGGGTTAGCAAAACCTCAAAGCACTCTAGTGTGCATTCCACTGAGACAGCTTCATTTTCTGGATAGATGGAGACTAATCCTTTAGGTGCCAAGGCACAATTTTAAAGTGGAAAACCCTCCCAAAATATAGCATCGTAAACCCTTGGCATCCGCAAAGGGCACACCAGGGGGTCTTGGTGAATCTCCAAGTTCACAAATGCAGCAAGGCCTGGACAGACTCCTACTTGCTCAAGGATCACATTTACAGGAAAAGCCACAGTCATCTACTATGAAGCCCACACCACCCTGCTCCCTTCACACAGTCTCCCTCTAACTTCACTTCTTGCTTCATGAGCAATTCTGTTATGTAGTCCAAAGCCGGTTTTCTCTTTAATCCTGATTCCCCATGGATTGGCTCTCTCTCTCTACTGCTGGATAAAAGCTGTAGAGTGCCCATGACTTCAGACTCAGTCTTGTGTGATGATATACTGCGTCACTTGAAGTGACAAAGCAGCAGCCCCCACGTGGCAACCTGAATGCCCACTTCAGTGTAATAATCAAACTTTATAATTTGATTTCACAGCATAGCTCTGCCTGCCCTCACCACAACTCCACTGGGTTGTTGTCTGGTAGCCTGTGGTGGAAGGGAAAGAATGAATCTGCAACATGTGTCTTTTGCCTCCCTCTCCCCCAACACACACACACACACACACACACACACACACACACAGTAGGGAAGCAAGCATAGTGCTACCATAGCT